TATAATTTTACTTGTTACTGTGCAATTACATTTGACCTTGCACTTCATTTTATTATTTTATTACCGCTGGAATTGCACTCGTAACAGGGTCTAGAAAACAAACGTCCTGTTATGAATTTAGATTTCATATCTTTATATCCAAGTATTATTATGAATTATAATCTCTCGCCAGAAACAATGACTCTACTAGCAGAAGAGACAAGTGCATTAGAAAAGGCTGGAGAAATCCTCTATAAAATTGAGTTCCCTTTCAATGGCCAAATTTTACATGCATGGTCTATAAGACATGAAAATAAAAATAATAAAATGGGATTATATCCATCAGTTTTAAAAGAACTCCTTAATAAACGAAATAAAATAAAGGCTCAATTGGGAATACTTGATAAGATAAAAGAGTACATGGAATTAGTAATTAGTAAAATAAAAGAGGAGAATTTATCAGTGACTGATGCTATTGATCATACCCTGAAAAATGCTGAAGATGAAAAAACGTGCCAATATGAATAAAATCTTGATTCCTCTTATTAATGAAACTTATGAGAATTTTAAAATAGAATATGATTCCATCTGTTTTGATCACACCTATCTAGATTCAAAACAAAAAGCTGTAAAATTATATATGAATTCTTTCTATGGAGAAACAGGTAATGGTCTATCTCCATTCTTCTTCTTACATCTGGCTGGTGGTATTACATCAGCAGGACAATATAATATTAAACTTGTTGCTGAGTATGTAACTAAGAAGAAAGGTTTTGGAATCAAATATGGAGACACTGATTCTTTATATCTCACCTGTCCCGTTAAATGTTATAAAGAATGTGATCTCGCTTATAATAATGGTAAAGGTACGATTACAAAGTTAGAGTATTGGACTGAAATAGTTAAAATTACTATGGGTATAATGAAAAAATTGCGTGATGATGTAAATAAATATCTTAGGTTAAAAAGCAGATCGAGTTATCTTAAAATGACTTATGAAGAGGTATTATTCCCAGTATGTTTTACCAACAAGAAGAAATATTTCAGAATTCCTCATGAAAAAAAGATAGATTTCAAACCAGATAAAGATAAACTTTTCATTAAAGAGATCGATACTGTGAAGCAAGACAAATTCCAACTTTTTAAAATTATAGGAGAGCGGATTATATGGGGGGCTATGAGTATTAATAACACACGTTCACTTTATGAGATTGTTGAAGAGGTTTTTAAAGAGGCTATAACTAATCCAGAGCAATGGAATTTTGATCAATTTATAGCAACTAATGTATGAAAACCTAATAAAAATAATATACGTGTTCAACATTTTATAAAACGGATAAGAAAAAAATACGAATATAAGATTCCAGATCCAGGTGAACGTTTTAGTTATGTGATTGTTCAATCTGATAGAATCTTCGATTTAGTTGGTAAAAAACTTAAGCTAGGAAAATCAGATCAGATGGAATTCGTAGATGTGGTTAAAGAACTTGGTAGAAGCATAGACTTATCCCACTATTTTGAAAATATTATTACCAGACTTTGCATCTGATTTATAATGTATGATAAAAGACATGAGTCTCCATCTACTGATAAAATTATGCAACTTACAGATTTGGATGAGAAGTATAAACGAATTGATATTCATGCTCAAAATAAGGCCAAGAAGTGGCTTGAGTCGTATATTAAGAAAATAAATGTAGTTAATGGAATCGATTCTAAAATAATATCTAATCGCAGGTATGCATACAAATGTGTATATAAGGGAGCTGAAAAAAGGGGGAGAGAAATGTTATCTAAAAAGATAGGAGATATATACGAAGCTCTCCAAGGAGATTGTATTAATTACGAACACTTTATACGTGGTGATCCAATCGCCAGAATATGGGAGAATCTAGTAAAGTATATCGAAACAATAAAAAGAGGGGAATTAGATATCAAGAAGCTGAAACGTGTAGAAATTCTCATTGCGTCAGATATCATAAATTCTATACACTCTAATCTTGCGAAACATATCAATAGTGTCACAAAAATTGCTATAAAATATAATTCATTCTTCTGTAAGTTGGTGTACTATATGAGATATAAAGAGCATATAAAAATTCCAGATAAGATAGGATCCCTTGAAACAATGCGAAAAAAGAGATAATTAGTGAGGAACTGGTCTTATCTTATATATCAGAAGCTGATCGATTAATACTCAAAAGCTTTCAAAAAACATGGGATGAATCAGTTAATATGTTCTATACATCATGTGAAGTGAAGATGTGTTGAGATATAAGATCGCAAAAAAAAATGACTCATCTGAAACAAATATCGACGAGATCATAACTCTTCGAGTTGCCTTATAAGGCCTGACCTATATTGTTAAGTATCAAACATATTTTCCAATATTAGCGACACTTATACATTATTAATAATATTTTTTCGTATATAAAAAATATCCAAGTTCAAATAGATAGTCTCATTATTCAGCCCACACTAAGGTTGCTTGCTAAAATCTCTTAGTGACTGTTTAAATTCTGTCAAAATTATAATAAACTATTAGTAAATAACCCGTCAAAATTCTGACGAATTTTGAAACCTGTCGTAACCGAAATTATGTCAAAATTCTAATTAACAATTAATGTGTAACCCGTCAAAATTATGACAATATTTTTCTGAAAGAATTTAGACAAGCATCCTTAGCTCACACATCCCGCAACTGGATACTTTTTCTCTCCAATCCCCATGTACGTCTCAATATAATGAACCACATAACAGCAATAATTAATAAGATAAGAAAAATATATGCTGATAGAGGTAACATCAAAGTGTTTGCCACAACAGGGATTGTCACTATCCCTCTTATCGGAAGAGGCAAAACCTTGAGACTATGTATCATCTGGGAATGTGATTCAATCAATGGGAACATGTTATTTTCTGGCTGTGCAAGGTAAGGGATCACGTTCAGTATTTCTTGGAATATATTGTTGTTATTATCATGTAATGGGTTCTTAATCTTAGTTTTGCTAATATCGATTTCATCACTTACCTTGGGAATAATCTCAGTATCGACTTTTGATGGTTTGGTAATCTCATCATTAGTATATGTCGAGATAGTGAAGCTAGTGTCAAGACATATATTATCATCGATTTTTTCTATTGGATCCATATTTTTTCCACGTATAAAATATTTACTGAGATCACTATTCTTGATTATATTTTTTTCGTCATTTTCACCAATCACAGGTTTCGATATAGTCTCTGATTTCAGACATTCAAGCTCATTGACCTTCGATTCCAATTCGCTCTGTATATTTTCTAATTCAGCTATTTTAGATTTGAGAAATAAATTCTCAGACTCTTTTTTCGATGAGTCATTTTGAATAGAAATCACATCTTTCTGGGCTGAAGATAACTTACTTTCCAATATCTTGATCATAGACTCGAGTGATTTGATTTTCTTGGATTTTGTAACATTCTCAGCCTTGGATTCAGCAATAAAAATATCCTTTTGTGCGTTATGAAAAATAATATTAGTATTTTCATTTTGTAGTTGCTTATGCTCATTAATGACCTGCAAAGCGTGAATGCGTAACTTTTGGATCTCAGTATTATTTCGTAATAAATCCCGATTCCACCCCTTTCTTTTTTGATCAAAAGCCTTCATTCGCTTTATGTATTTATCCTGTAATTTCTCACTAAGCTTATTAATTTCGGCTTTGGATTTGATAGCATTATATAATTCTTTTTCCAGCTCTTGTTCACGCATACTACCAAGTCGATGGTCTTTAATATTTTGTAATGTACACACATTAGCCATAATAAATAATAGATAATATACAGATATTAATAAAACTAGCTTTGTTAATAATTTCTATTATTATCTAATGATGTTTAATATTAGATATTCTAGTCTATTAAAAAAATATATTAGATACTGTTAAATTAGGTTATATAGTAATTATATATTTCAATCTCTAGTACTTTGTATTAGTTTTTATTAGTCGAAGGCTTGCTCACTCTAATATTTCCTATTCATCTATAATAATAGATATTATTTTTTATCATTCTAAAATATTAAATATCATTCTAAATATTCGATAAAAAATCAAATCATGGATACACTATTTCTAAAATCATATTATTGCCAAAAATCTACATATCTAACTTCTGAGCAGATAGAAATAATTAGATCACTCAAAGATAAGGTACCTAAATATAGAATTATGAGAGATTTCCATATTAATGAACATCGAGTAGATGATATATGGCAAGATCGAGAACGCCAGCAACAAATAATACAAAGTACCATTTCTACTGAAATATTACCTATATCTACACTAGTCTCATTAACTTCATCTGAAAATTTTAACCAAATCAGAAGAAAGACTTTATATCCAGAATCTACTACTCTTCTTAATACAGAAATAAAAAAAAGAAATTCCAAATCTCAGTCTAAATCAGTTCAAATATCTGATCCAATATCTATTAATAACTCTAATATAGTAACATCTACACTTAATGAGACAGAAAAAATAAGTAGCAAGGATCTGGTTGTATTAAAAGAAAAAGAAGCCAGAAGAGATGAGAAAAATAAAGCAAAAATGACTCACCTATTAGCTACTGGAGGAGATATATTTAAGTAACTTTTCATAACGCATTTGCAACTTTTCACAAAGATCATTTATTTCAGCTTTAGACTTGAGAGTAGTATATAGCGATTTTTCTAACTCCTCATAACTCATGCATTTTTTTTAATGACAGATCATCAAAATCTGGGCTAAAATCCACGGGAGCATGCCATTCCTCCAATGTTATATTGTTATCCTTATCACTACCCGTTTCTTGAGAAATTTGATCAAATACCAAAGAATTATCATTCTGAAATGCAGTAGCGCAATTCACTTCAAGTTTATTCTTGACTTTATGCATAGTAACTGGAATAATAAAATCCTGATTATTATAATGGATCTTTAACTTATCTTTATCCCAATCTATACCACATTTATATTTCTTGAGAAGTGGATTTGGAAATATTAATGTCAGTTTAGAAACTTGTATAACTACAAAATCTTTACATATAGTAAAACCTGGAGGAAATGTTATTGGTAAATTACAAGTAATACCAACAGATTCCGTTGGAATAGTAATGACGCCACTAAGATCATATTTTTCTGACCTATCTATTTTTCCACCTATACGTTTGACAATATCTTCTGAAATAATTGCCATCTCAGCCTCACTATCAATAATCATTGCCAGAATTTTCAATCGTCTAATCTTATATGGCATAGTTGCAATACTTGTTTCTGGTTCTTTCTTTTTTACAAAGTCAATCTCCATAGGATCATTCAATATCTCCTCTTCTTCATCCGATTCTGGAATTATTGGAATTGGTTCTCTATAATCTATAAAGTTAGATTTTTTGATAGAGGGAGATATGTTGGATGAGTCCTCAATCTTGGCTTTAAGTTTCTCAATCCAATTTATAGGTGCAATGCCGTCAAATATATCTAGTATAATCTTTTGGAGAGATTTATCAATAACAGTTGATTTATTTCAGGACTTATCAGAAGTGGAAGTATTCTTCTGTTTCTTTTTGCTGGATTTAGATTACTTCTTAGTCTTGGAATTCTTAGGTTTTACTTTTTTTTTGATTTAACAGCATTGATAATTTTCGCGATTTCAGTCTCAGTTAAGTCATTCTCAGAATCAGATTCCAATTCAGAACCAGACCCAGAGTCAGAATCAGATTCATTATCCAAAGAATTAGTATCAGAATCAGAGCCAGAAGCTGAATCTACAGTAGCGATATTGACACTGCCTTTTTTCTTGGACTTGCGCTTGCTAGAACATCTGGACTTGCTTTTCTTTTTATTTTTAGGGCAGTTGCGAGAATTATGACCTGTTCTACTACAGTTTGAACATTTGTATTGAGATGATTTTAAAACAGCATGTATTACTTAAGCTAATTTTGCTTGATTGATATTCAACTGTTCAAGCTGTAATCTCAAATCTTCAACTGGATTATAGTCATAGTCCTCAGGTAATAGTGGATCTCTGTCATCAGAAACACTATCTAAAAAATGGTTCATAGCAAGATTATCAGCTTTTTGTTTTCCAGGACCGGTGGGTTTCTTCAAAGTTTGCTATCCTTTAGCAATAGTTCCTTTCAAACCTGCTATAATTTTTTTGAAATCATCTTGTGAAAGTGTGATCAGATTAGATTGATTTTCCTGAAATTTAGAAGAGATAATTTGCGAAACTGGTTGAGATTGTGATGAAGTTATAATAGATTTTACAAAGCTTTCCATTTTATCTCTACTCATACCCGTTGTCACGATCGGGCTCCTGGTGGGTGATAATCGTGACGTCAATATTCAACCAACGTCTATGGACGGTATTTTTACGG